CGATGCAAGCTTCGTCCCCAGATACCATCTGTTCATCATTCATCTCATTGCGTGAGACATTAATTTGCTTATCAGATGGCCGCGAAGCTATAGCCTTTTGATGACAGATACTTGCGATAACAGGCAACTTAGTTCAAGTCTAACTTTGCTGAAATATTTTATTTAACCACATTCAATTTCCAGAAAATATCCTCATTAATGACACCAGCAGTTATTTGTGGATAACTGGACTAAAAGGTAACAAAGAGGATGGCCCATCTGTTGAAGACGCTACAAAGAAAATCATGGATCAACTGAAAGGTACTGCTTTTACAATGTGCTTTTATCAGGTTTTTGTAAATTATAGTAAAATAGTCATTAGAGTGCTCGCACTAAACCCGTGAAACAAATACTAATTTTTAGTACTGAATAGTGATAATCAAACAATAGGAAACAAAGGATTCTGTATGAATTACTACTAATTAGTACTAAATATTATTCATGGGTTTAGTGCGTGAATTATTAACACTGCTGCATATAGAGATAACCAATTTATTTGTATCACAATACAGACAAAGTGTTAAGTCGTGATGCCTCCATGGATGATATCATTCTTATGCAACTCTTCATTAAGAACATGAGCGACTTTTCAAGAATCAATTCCATATACCAAAAGTATTTTCATATTAATCCGCCGACAAGGTAAGAAAGAGAGATTTGCACAATGAAGTGCACGGAAGGAAACAAAACAATGTTACTGGGGTTTTTGATATTCTGTGAACACAGACATATCAACGCTTCTTGTGAAATTAGTTTTTACTTCTGCCAGTGATAAAAATAAAGTACTGACAGCAGTATGAATGACGGCAGAGGAAAACCAAATTTCAGCTTGTAGCTCGCAACTACCAAGATTGCAGAATATTGAAATGAAGAAATAGAAAACGCGCGCGCGTGCTGTGTGCTGTCATGAAGCACGCGGGGATTGGCAGAACACGAGAGAAGTGTTAGGAGAAGCACGACGCGTCTTTTATAAGATACAAATTACAATAATAGATAGGAATGACGCAACGGAAATTGCGCGCGTGTGCAATGTGCTCTCATAAAGCAAGCGCTCAAAACCAATCAGATCGCGACATTCATAACAGTTATTTTATAAATCGCAGTAAAAGAGGAAACCACTTGGCAGTGCAAATACTATGTTGAAATGCATATGAAAATGTAGCAAGTAAAAATGAGAACGGTTTTTCTTAAAAGAAGTTTTTAAATGGAAATGGAAGCACATATGGCAATCCATATGGGAAAACCGCAATACTTACTAATAATTTATTATTACAATATTTTTTAAATATTAATATTCTATCAATGCTAATATTGTACTTTTAACTGAAAATCCCTAATGGGGATGTGATTGATAAAATTCGTTCTTTCATTCATTTATCCATTCATTTATTCACTATTTTTTAAGGCGTGGTATTATGGACAACAAATTGCACAACTTGTCCTTCTAGATCGCAGAGTTGTAATTTGTAGAGCGAAAGGTGCTCGTATTAGAAATACTTTTGTGCGACAAGCTGCATAATACCGTTGCCCATATAACAACATCTTTAATATCTAATTTACCTTCATTTAGAGCCTGCTTAGAGGCAAACCTTGATGATGATACCTTACTTCAGATGGACTGTTTATTATATCGACCAATAAATATACCAGACAAACAACGACAAACAAGTAATGAACAAGTTGCTATACCACATACGTTAAGACATTCCAAGGAAACGATGCATGTTCAAAGTGTATCACACTGGGCCTCGGCTAATATTGGTCCCTACAGTCAAGCAGTAAAGGTAAATCTCAAACACTAAGGAGTAATTTTTGCATGCGTATGTGTTGCTAGTATTTTTATACCCTCCTTGCACGAATTTCCAATCTTGGGGCCAAAATTTWAAAAAAAATTATTTATCATTTGTGGATTATGTTTTTTTGTTTTTTGTTTTAATGTTAGTTTTTTTAATTGTTTTGTCCCAAGGTAGAGATTTAGTGCATGGGGTCTAGTACCTGCTCATTAGAAATGATGACCAATGTGTGTGATTTAATCAAGGCTATTCTCATTCCCAAGGAAAATTCTGTACAATTTCCGCAAAATAACGAACTTTCTCCGAGCGAATCCAACTCTTTTATTTCCGGTATTATAGTTTTGTCGCTTTTTCATCGTGGTATTTCTTACTCTGCACACAGTTAAGATCGCGCGCGCTGCTTCATTTCTTTTTGTAGTCCAAGACCTGTGCTCTGTCTCTTTGCCAAAAAGTATAGTCTGTTGGTCGGTAGGTGGACTTCAAACTCAGACCCATCCAAAATATAGATGGTCTATAATGTGTATTTGTTGAATGTGTGCTCATATGCTGTACGAAGGTACAAGGAGCTGGATTGTTCGCTCTTGTTTTTTGCTCTGTGGCTATACAGCATTTCGTCACACGTGTCACTATGCTTGGATGCATCTTTCTCCATCCTATCACGCTTTTGCATTCACAAGAAATACAAAGACATTTTTTTGTTTTATTCGAACATTTAAAACAATACAATACGAATAGTCCACTTGGCTGGAGAACATATAGTCATGATTTGTGTGTGTATTTTTGTGCGTTAAGTGTTGTTTCGTTTATTTCATTTTTTGGTTGATTTTTTTGTTTTTGTTTTGTTTTTGTTTTCGTTGTTTTTCTTTCTTTTTTTCTTCCTTTTTTTCTTCTTTTTTTCGTATTATTTTTTATCTTATTTTTAAATAAAAACTAAACAAAGGAAAATTCAATCTCCAATAAAGTTATTGTTTAGTGTATAAAAAAACCAAATTGCCATAATGTAGTGAAACATATAAACTCTTAATGCAGAATATACTCGGAAAAAAAGAACAGCCAAACAGTGGACCCAAAAAGAAACACATACAAAACAAACATAACACGAGCCTTTCAATGATCCCAAAAGTAATGAGGGCGCGCTATGATGACGTAGCTTGTTGCCACGGTAATGGTAACCGTGACGACTGTGGCAGCACCAACTAACACTTCAGTAGGAAAGTAAAAAGGACAGTCGACGTCTGGAAAGAGAAAAGACTGTAATAAGTGCGAGATGATTAAGACAACATTTTAACATAAAATCATATTGCAAATAGTTAGAAATCTTTGGTCGAGTATTTGAAAAAGTGAATAAAGTTGTTTGGATAAATGTGGAAAATTTGCCAACTTTGGATTAAATGCTAGGAAGATTCCTTAATAATATCCGACACAGTTATTTCTATGCTGGCTTATCTATAAGATTGACCATTTACCTAATGATTGAACTGGGACCAGACTCGAAGTAGTGTCAGTACTAGCCTCGTTATCGCTCATCGGACTTTGTTTCTGTGGCTCTTTAGTTTCAAGCAAACTAGGCATTTCATAAGATGTGTCCTGCTCTGCGCTAATGGACTCGTTGTAATCCTGGAATAATGGGCATTTAGGCATGTAATTCGGAAGTGGGTATGTAGGCTGTAGAGCCTGACCTTCAGCATGGCTGGACCTCCAGAACTCGTCGGTGTTAATGCTGACTGGGGCTCTTTCCTCATTAAGGGCTGGTTCCGATGAAGTTTCCAGGTAGCTGGAAGTGTTGGAACTGCCCGTCATAACAGGACAAATATCAGAGCTGTTTAACGATGGTCTTGCTTGTGTGACATGTTCTTCCTGGCTGTCTTTCGAAAGAGGTCCCCCAGAAAAGTCCTTGTGGTGCTTTGCTGCATCACTTCTGTTTGTTTCCTGATCATCATAAGAACTGGCAGTACCTCCTGTCTGCTTGTCCTCATTTCTACTATCATTCAAATGTAGAGGGAGCCGTTCCAATGTAGGCTCCTCTGTAGCATCCTGTGTCGCCACCTTGGGTGGCTGTTCGTGAACTTCGTGTGAACTAGCAATACCTTCTGTACGCTTGTTCTCATTCTTGTCATTCACATTTGGAAGAATACTTTCCAAAGAAGACTCTTGAGTCACCGTCTAGGGCACTTTAAAATAAAAAAGTGTCTAGAATTCGATTCCGGACTCGCCTTGGCATCACATGTGAGTAGAGTTTGTGATCAGTGCATGATCTAATTTCTATTGATTGCTTACCAGTAATCATCTTGGAGTCTGTTTGAGCAAATTCAAATGAAAGAGGTTTACCAACCCATCGGCCTTTGATGGAGAACCACTGGTTACCAGTAGTGGCTGAAGCAGTATCTGTTGGATACAAGATGATAAAAAATAAAGATGTCAAAAGGAATTCAATACTTTTGCCTTTTGATGACTTGGTTGACCACAGTCTTCGCCTGCTACCTGACCAGCTTTTCATAGCTGCCATGTTAGATGAATGTGAAAACATTTTTGCTTACCGCACCTTTATTGAATAAATAAATTTCTATTACGTTTTGTTACGTGTTTCTTTATCGAAAACATTTCCCTTACCCATTCTCCAGTCCGAGGTGTCCTTCTTGGTTGAGTGGAAGCGAACTATCTCCACCGATACCTTGTCATCCTTGGTAGAAAAGCGCAACCTTGCTCGAAACGTAAGCCATGTCTCTTCCATACCCAATAGATCCTCGGCATCTGATGGAATGAATAGGTTTTTAATTTGGACAATAAATGAAAATAAATAATAATACATATAATAATAATAATGAACAAAAAGGTAGTAAAAGGGCCAGCAGTTCTGACAGTCTATTCTGGGTTTTCTCAAGTTCTCCGGTTTTCCTCCCTCCCTCCGCAGATATCAAAATCAAAACTGAAACTTTTGATTTCAAATTAATCTGGCGTTGAGTACAATCTTTAATCATGGGCCTTTGGCTCGATCATAATTTATAATTCACGTTTGGTTTTCCTTCGTACCCACTACATTCTCCTCCAAGATCTTCACAATCGTTTGGCTCTTTATTGGTAAATTGCACCTTTTACCAACTCGAAGCACTGGAAACTAAAGAATACAAAAATAAGTATTTTAATCTAGTCTAATTCGTAATTATTATTTTGTGAATAATTGGAAAGAAGAAATCCTTCAAAAAAATCCCCAACAAGTTGTGGCTTTCGCCTGCTTGGGCTTTCTTTTTATGATTACTTTGGAAAAAAAATAAATGTTGAACTGGTTACGCTATTATATCTTTATTTGTTTCTTATAAAAAAAAGAGTAATTCGAATATTTCAACTCAAGGCGCAGGAAAAATATGGAATGAAGTTGATATTAAAAATTGATTTTAAAAAGGTTTTAAAAAATCAATGTATTGAGTCTTGCGTCGCTAAAAAAGATCATGCGCGGGAAAATGACGTCATCGCTGAAACTTTTTCGCGCGCAAAGCGAAAGCGAAATCACAACCTACCGTCATATTTACAGTCTCTGTGCATCAAAAATGCTGTGAGATAACAAAGTGTGGTTATTGATAGTAATATTATACAAATATTTATCGCCCGATCCCGATATCTCGGCATCTTGACGAAACACGTCTGAACAGTCTTCAAGTCTGAAGACAATGATTTTGGTCAATCAATTAGGTGACGTAATAAGGCTTAATTAGTACACGTCATAATTGCAATTAGAATATCTAAGGGGTTGCAAGGGGCTATGGGTATTCGAAAAAAGGTTTTTTTCCTTCAAATTTATTAATGAGACCGTTTAATAATTATAGCAAACGATTTAAAAAATCAAGAAATAGAAAACGCGCTCGCTTCCTGCGTTATGAAGCGCAGGGATATAAACACGAGAGTAGTGTTAGGAGAATCACTATGAGGCATAGCGGTCGCAGTTAGACGTCACAGGATAATTGGGTTAATAGACCCTTTTCGAATTCCAAATTACCGCTGTGTTCCTTGATTACAGTCTCATTTACTCAGGCTTAACCTCGAATCAGTGTCTAAATATTCACAAATACCAACGGTAAAGTAAAGAATGTACAACCGCAACAATACGAACATTTTGAAACTTGACGGACCTTGACTGGAACACATGAATATTCTTCACAAAATCGAGGCAAAGCCTGAGTAAATGAGTCTGTAATCAAGAAACACAGCGATAATTTGGAACTCGAAAAGGGTCTATAGTGCAATAAGAATAACGAAAAAGCTTGCGAGGAATCATGAGCATTTAAAAAAATTGTGATGCTTGTTAATGAAACAAATATATTTGAGCAATTTAAAAAAAGCAATTTAGTATTCTTCGAACCGCAATTTGTGTCAAAAACTGACGATTTTTTTCTTTACTGCACCTGCTAAAACCGTACCGTATTTGCGTACAGTTATAGAGCAGTTTTTGTAGGACTGTGAAAACCTCACGTCAAGAACACGGTCGTGACACGGCAAGGCGTACGCCAGACCAATCACTTTGCGTGAGAATTTATTCTCCATACAATCGAATACTCGAAACACGGCATAAACACGGCGCGGACATGGTCACGACAAGGTCACGGCATTGTCAGACCAATCACATTGCGCGAGAAAAAAATCAGCCAATTAAAATTCTAAAAACTCACGGTTAAGGCACTGCACGCTTACGACACTGCGCTTTTCACAGTCATGCGAAAACTGCTCTAAGCAGATGCTTCACCTTACGTGCACCGGTATCGCGAGACAAGTTACACGATCTTTAGTTGTGAAAATTACTTGGGAGAAGGTTTAACAAGTAGAACTTCTGTTTTCTCGAACTAAAACTTATAATGACGGTAGACAAACTGTGCGACAAATCGGGCCGCGTAACACCCCTCCCCAAACGTGTATCGCGAAAAAATTTACTGGCAGCCTATAACACGTAGTCTGAACTAAAGCAAAACATTACACGCAAGCTAAGAAGGTCGCTTCAAATATTCTTTTCAATATTATCTACCCCAGGTTGGTCCTCTTATGCTGGTATCAGGCTGTATTGGTTTATGGCCATCCACCATGTCTATCGTAGAGGGAGGTATAGCAGTCCAAGCAGCCTTGTCTTTAAGGCATGTAGATAGAATCATCACCGCTTTCAAACCAATGGAATCACTATTGAACGTATTCTATGGATTTTGTTACCTTACACGTTATCAAGATATAGCCATTGCTGAAGAAGCGTTCGAAAAAGCTGTTCAATCCAAGGTGAGTGCTAGACTGAAGAAAGGCAGCCACGGATCGTTATTCAGCACAAAGGAAATGAAATACCCCTTTTATTTTCAGACAGCGGTTTTCGTATGAGTTGTAAACAATACAACAAATTCGCAGACATACCGTATTTTACCGTAACCGTAACTACGCGTTGTGGTTGGATGAATTACTTGAAGACAATGGGAAGCTATTTCGATGTAACGGCACGTTTTACCGTGTACGCTCAGTAGCGTATGTTTCCCACCCATACGACAAACCGCTCTAACAATTATTCGCCGAAGGCGAAGTGAATATCGGGGAATATTTACCGCGACGCGAGTCTTCGAGCGGCGAGGTTAATATTCTCCGATATTCACTGAGGCTGAGGCAAATAATTGTTTTAGTATAAATACATCGTGTCATAGTGCGAGTTTCTTGACCAATGAGCGCGCGAGATTTTCAATAATCACCTGTGTATTTTTACTGTAGCTCTATAAACCTCAAAACGGGTTCTATGATAAATATTGTAATGGACTAACATAGAGTTAAGCTGTAACAGTCTCTTTATGTAAGTAATAAGGTATTAATAACTACATACTCTTTAGAGACAGCGCGTAGACCGTATGTTATCCATTCCATTCATAAAATGTTTTATCCTTTTCTTTTTACAGAGAAATCTTTCTAGTACTAACAATGCCCTAATCGGTTATGTCGTGGTGCCTAATCTGCCTTCAGGAGCTTTAGTAGAATATCAGGTGATGACCCATAGTGAGCCTGACATATGGCACGGTGAGTAAACTAGTACACCGGAGTAGAGTGCAAACAATATAACCGTGAAACTTTAGCAATACTAAATAGCACAATTTCATGCAAATTCCATTGTTTTCTATTGTTTAATTAGCACTATTTTGTACTATTTAGTAATTAGTGTTTCACGGATTAATTGTTTGCACTCTATTAATTGAATGGATGTTGACTAAAAATTGTTCAACAAAACATTGATTCTATTAAACCATGAAGCACCCTCTTAGCTGACTTTTAATAGGAGGCTTGATCAAAATATAAACAGCGCGTCTCAAGCGCATCCTTGAACTCTTCAGATTCATCAATTCTGGCGATTACCCTGATACTGTCAAAATTTGTGCGTAATTTATGAAAATGATAGATGACGTAAAAATGACTAATTTCGATTTTATTAAACAGTGTTATTTATATTCATGTAAAATTCTAACATATTTCTACACCATCTCGATAGCATACGATTCTGGGGGAGTTTAAATATGCACCGGAGACACGCTGTTGATTTTTGAGCCAACTTAAGTTGGTACAGATGTTTTCATATGCTCGCATTTGATGTGGAAGGAGTCGAAATTCTAACTCTGAGAGGGTAAAAGGCTAGCACAATACTTTTAACACCATGCTAGATTCCCTCCAAATTTACGTGGGTTTTTTTACTTGAAAGCTTGACGCTGTGAGTGAGAAAGACACTGTTCTTCATCGATAATGTAAGCTGTTGGATAGGCTGTTTCGAAAGATGATTTTTCACTTAACTAAGCATTGATTTTGGAATAAAATACACAATAAACTAATCATCTTTTAGCGCAGTTCAGTTGTGAATCCGTCAACTTGCATCGTGTTACCGAATCCTTAGACATCGACTTTTTGCTAAACACACTGTTGTGTGAAATATCTTTGCGAGTCGTTAAATGAAACATCCGCTTTAAGGGGTCAGTCAGTACTTTACTTACGCCAACGTCATGTGATCTGACATGTGACTTGTTATGGCGTTATATTCCCGACAAAATTCAACCTCAGGTTTTCGACATTCTAATAAAGAATTCAGTGTTTCACTTGCAATGCAATATTGTTAGTTGCTTTTCCGACATTGAAGATTTCGATTTCAACTTAGCTGTAATCTCGTCCAACATTCGAGTTCCACGATTGAACATTCGTTAATAGCTTTCCGTGTCTGGACAAAATTCAACATTGGGAAGGCTGAAGACTTAGCACCCGATATCGACTACATCACGCTAGAAAATCCAAAAAAAATCTCTCTCTCTCTCCTTGAACCGCAATAAAAATGCAACATCTCAAAGGAACGATAATTTCTCTATTATAACATGTATTCTGAATGCCACCACGCCAAATATGTCCAAAAAATCCTGGCTTGAAGTCGAATATTTGATTTCTTCTACAGCGTGTGATCGATGGTGTTAAACAGCCGTTGTAAAGCGTGAGCGGGTCACGTTACATATAGTCTCCCCACAGCCGCTTTCAGTGTCGTCACGCAACGCTTTCACAATGAAAGCGGCTGTGGGGGAGACTACGTTACATACTGCATTCCCATTATTTAGGTAGAGAAGAGCGGATTTTGAAAAAACCCACTAAACGGCCTCAAATCGCGCTGAAACTTCGCCAGACGACTGAACATAGTAAAAGCAACATCTGCAGCAGGTTTTGAGGCAAACTGTTAAGTGAAACATTTTATTTTCGTAACTTTATCATAACTCCCATACATTCCCTTATAAACCATACACAGGAACCTTGTTTGGGCTGCCTGTGCATAGGTCAAACGCACTCGTGCGTGAAGTTCGATGGTAGAACTTGAATGTTGGATTGTAATCCAACAATGACGGAAAGATTATGCGTTTGTATCTAAAAACTTTAAAACCTTAGTCCTTGAACGAG